TCGAGTTTGATTTGCAAACAAATTATATATATAACATATGTTAGTAAAAAAATAGAAATTATGCAAAAATGTTGACAAAATGTAAAAATTTGTTATATGCATTTGTAAATGATAGCAAAAGAGCAATTTTGAAAGGCGAAAAAAAAGCTATTCAAAAATAAAAAATGTTACCATTAAAAGTACGATAAGATGAAAATATATAAGACTAGAAATGACAGTACGAAAACGGCAATTGTGAAGCGAATATCTGCATTATGTGACTTTATATATATTCACAGGAAAATCATAAATTTGTCGTATCCGTTTGTTATATAATTTCTGCATAGCATTGCCTTTAAAGGATTAATTTTTAAATTGACAACAATGTTCTCTCTTTTGTTCTCTTTCTGTCCAACGTTTTATTTTCTCTCCTTTGTGCTCTCTTTCGTAATTTGTTTGGTTCGCTCTCTTTCACTCTCTCTCTATTATTCGCTCTTTTATTCATTATCTTCCATTCTCCCTCTTTTATCCTCTCCCTTTTATTTTCTTGTTTATTCTCTCTTTTCGTTCTGTCTTTCGATCTGACTTTTGTACTTTTTCTCTTTTGTTCTATATTCTTTGTTCTTCTCTTCCGTTTACACTTTCTCTCTGTCTCTCCAGCTCTCTTTCGTTTACTATCTCTTCAGCATTCTACTGTTGACTCTCTCTCTCTCTGTCTCTCCAGCTCTCTTCTGCATACTCTCTCTCCCTCTTTCTCTCCAGCTCTGTCTTCCGCTCACTTTCTCTATATATCTCTTTAGTTGTTTCTATATTCATCTTTTTATTCTCTCCATTTTTATCTCTTTCGCTTGCTCTTTTTATTTGATTCCTTAAAATATCTTACAGAAACATAGAAACCCAGCATATGATAATGTCATATTAATGGATCAACAAATAATAATGCAATAATGAAGGTAAGTACCCCTTCCTTCATTATTTTGCAGCATAACTACTTCTACTTCTTTAGCGAATTATCAATTTGGTGGTGTCCACTATTAGGAGTAACTAACTCGATGATTAATAAAAGTGCAATCGATTACTCTACCTATAAAATGAAATTGCCTCAACATACTTTTATCTATTTCTGTAACTTATATCTATTAAATTTTAAATAACTTTATTTATTATATTATTAATTATTAATTATTAATAATAAAAACAATATCGTTTACACTATTTTGTTACTCAAAATTACTTTTATTATAGCCAGACTGCACTTTTACAACCATAGTCGGTTATCGAGATCATTGCTTGTAATAGAACTAAGTACCAGCAGTACACTGAATGTATTTACTAATATTAGTCTATTGATCTAAATAATTTAGTAAGATATTGATGCAATGAATTAATAATGTACTGAATTAATTATATATTAAGTTAATCAAAAAACAAATGTCATTATGAACACCAAGATTTAGCGGTGTAGAAGTCGGATTATAAATAGATAAAATAATTCAACTATTTGAAATTAAAACAAGATTTACAATCTTTAAAAAAATATAAAAAAAAAGTGTTTGGCTTCATTGAAACTTAGATACCCTTCATAATAGTTATTAAAAATTAACGAGTCTATATTTTAGTTCTTTTAGCTGTAAAAACTTTATCTGTAAAAAGTTCTATATTATTCAATAATATGTTAAAGAGCTATATCTCAATATAAATGTATCGGGAGGCATTTCTGCACACTCTACCAAAGAAACATAAGCACATGTAATACACTTAATTCTAGTTTTAATATCACTGGATGTGATATTCTGAGAGAATCTATAAGAATACTACTGACAAGTAATTTACCATTGAAGTTGGAATGTGAAACGCTATCGGAGAAATAAATTTTAGAGCTCCAATTGTGGTAACCTGTTATTCTAAAAACTGCAAGTTGTGCTTTAATGTAATTAAATGTTTAATATATGTAACCCCAAAGTGTACGGGAGTTTACTGTATTTACTTCACATAATATATAATTAATACTAGTATACAATAAAAAAAGTAAACTTTTTTATTGGACGCCTAAACAAGCTTATCTGTAAATATCTTCGATTTGTATATTTACTTTGTATCACATTTAAATGATTACAAATCAAATATGTACAATTGTAATAATATAAGCTAATAAAGTTTAAAGTAGTTCATATAGTTTCATAATAAGTAAGGAACAACAGATTGAAAAGTGTATAAATTATAGATAAAAATAATGAAATTAATATTTAAATATATTAAAATTATAAATAAACAAACAAAAACTACATTAATTAAAAAGTAAATATGTTAATTAGAAAAGCAAAATGCAAAAATGAGTACTGTAAATAATACAATCAATGTTCACACTTTTGTGCAATTGAAAATATTCCATAAAATTAACTCACACCTTAAAATAGAGCTTTACTTTACCTACACAACAGACCGTCATGAGGAGCATTAGAAATAAATTTATAACGAATTAATGAAAATCCATGACAACAACAATTAGGAAATAAGTATGGTCCATAAACAATGATATCATTTAATATAAATCGTTACTAAGCAAGATTTAATAGATTAAACCAATCCCAACGATTAAATTTCAAGACCGGCTACGTCTACATCACGGAACTACTCATTAACACAGACGACGAATTATAGAAGAAGGTTCCAAGAACCGTCGGATCTACGCCCCAGAACCACTCATCGAATTCGACTACCAAAAGGAACTACACAAACAGATACTGGTGGGCTACAACACAACATCAAGTTCCTTAAAAAAATAACATTGGCAAGTATATATAAAAGATATTCGCCAATATTCGGGGACCACCACAAAACAGCTACAAATACACAGTTAAGCCACAGCTAAGGAATAGTTATTGATGTTGTTGTAAGCCCATTGAGTCTGAAAAAATAAGCACACAAGAGATTAAAAAAACATACATAAATAGATGGAATAGGAAGAACGATGGAGATGCAGAGTGCAGTATTAGGTAAGAATGGTAGGATAACTAAACAAAGTAGCATTACTTCATTTTGAAAGAGATGGTGATGTTAAGTCTAGTGATAGGTAAGAATGTTAGAATAACTCAAGTAGCATTATTTCATTTTGAAAGAGTGTCCTTCCCTGCTTAGAGACAACTACATAACTGACTCTTATTAATATACGAAAGGAGCTCCAGAAGCTGCTAGGTCTGTGTATGTAACCCTTTTGTTTTTGTCGACAAACAAATTCCACTTGCTTTACGCAACCGGTAAATGTTACATCTAAGGCTACAAGTACAACATGCCACAGGTTTTTTTTAATAATTTCGTGAGGAATCACAAAACTACTCTTTAAAACTATTCTTACAAAATTATTCTTCTAGAAATCCTGAAAGCACATCTGCCTTTTGAGGCCGAGGCTGTAAGTATTTTGCTAGTAGCATTACATGGTCTGTATAGATGAGTGATTTTGGTATGTAATAGCAACCTGCAACTATCCTTGGAGGCTTTACGTATTATAACAAAAATAATATGGACAACCACCCACGAATTACTTAAACTACTACACAGGCTTTCTATCTAAATTGAAAATAGAATATGTTGTTGCAGCTCAAAAGGATCTAAAAATCAGAAAATATTAAAAAAATTACACGATGTATATATAGGTTTGGATGTGGATAGATACTGGTTGAATATAGCATATATTGTTGTTGTAACCCACGGGGACCTGCTTGTGAAGTCCTTTTGGGAGGTATCGAACGGCATTTGGGCTGGCGACAAATGACTCCGGATCGTAGACCTGGCCGTTCTTGGAACTAATATATATATATTTATATATATAAATATATAGGATATCGTAAAGATTACTTTTCCATAATATTGTAAATCAAGTTTTTTAAAGCAGTATTGCTGTACATTACTGTAGTAAACTAATGCTTAACTAGGAGCCGGGTTTATACCCCACAGCCAAGTCTTTTCACACGACCAAGTGCTGCTCACGCTCCCAACAGGAACTCAAAAAGCAGCAATATAGACAATTGTCTCGTAATCAATTTATGTTCCTGCTTTCAGAGATCGTACATTGGTTGCAACAATGCCAAATTTAATCATTAGTTAAAATCATTCAATAATAATGTTATCATTATTATCTTATAATTTTATAGTTTTAAATGAATTTGTAGTCTTTAAACCGAGAACACTAGTAAAATAATTTTTAACATTATGAATCATTGCTGCTACAGTTTATCAATCATCAAAAGAATGAATCGATCACCTAAAGGAATTACTTACATTAGATAATTTTTAGAAATAAAATTTTCCATAAACTAAAACCATATTTTTTATTATACAATTTTCGAAATAGTTAACAAGATTATACTATTAAATTTCACTGCCCCTGCACGGTTAATATATTATTTAATACTTAACAAATCAGGCATCTATTAAAAAACTAATATTATAGATAAGAGCTGATATCTAAAACAAATGTTTTAAAGCATTATGAATCAACAATTTTTAAGTGAATGAATTTTAGAAATCCAAATTTATTATTTTGTAAAACAATAGTTAAATTGTATTTACAAACGACAAATTTCAGCAGGTTTTAGGGAAATTTAATTTAAGGATGGCCAAACCTGAGTATGCTCGACAGGTACAACTAGGCTCAACTCGTAGATGGTACACATATGGCGATAGTAAAATCACCACATAGGCCAATACGAAATATGAATTGTAGAGATGAATAGCATTAGTCCTGATATTGACCACAGCACATAAACAGACATTGATTTATTAAGAATAAATACTCAGATTTTCATAACAATCTGACATTGTCTGTAAATGTGATTATTATAAAATTCAGATTAAACTGCAAAATAGCGTATGAAATCCGATTTATAGAACAATTAACTACACTGAATGACAACCTTTTTATTTAGGTAAACACATTAAAACTACGATTCCGTTATGTTATTCTCAAAATTTACAACATATTAAGCTCGACACTAAGATACATTGATTCAATGCTGCCTTACGTGATACTAGCGATCTTTTTAAACTGCTGTCCGATGAAAATGTGTTGGAAGGATCGGTGTTAAACAATTTATACGTATTCCAATATGCACAACAATAACCAGTTATATTCTATATAAAAATTTCATTTGCTTTATTTTGTTATCTACACTTCCATATAGCCAATTTTTGTTTAATTTACAGTATTATTGATATTTATTATGTAGTATTTGCTATATAAGTGCAATAATTAATAGTTTAGCACTAGTTCGATAAGCACAAATTAATTTAAAATACACTCACTATTTTATTTTCTTGGCCACTGGCTTTTACACACACTAAATACTTAACAAATAAAATAATAATAAGTTTTGTTGCAGAGCCAAACTATTGACATAAAAATGCACAAGAGAAAATGGCGGAGTACATTTTATCGTTCAGTTTTCATTGAGTTCATTGTGTAAATTTCTTCGTTCACTTTTGTGTGGTCTTCGTTGAATCAGAATTGCTATCCTAAAAAGTGTTGCCACTGAACACAGCTCTCAACAAGAAATACGTTTTTATTATTAATAAATAATTAATAAAAATATTATACGAAATATATATATAGAATATTTATATATAAAATATATAAAAATATTTAATTATATTTATTATTTAACATATCCATAACAACAATTGGTACTGATATAATGTACTATTCTACTAAACACAATAATCAATAATGAAATCCATATAATCGTTCAATTCTATTCTATTAATTATATGATAAAATTTATATATATTGCCAAAAACATTTAAAGTAAAAGTAATTATTTTCTACGCGTAGTATGATATATAAATTGTTTTCAAATTTTTCATTGTGAAGTGACACTATTAAATTTTATGCATTAATTTTGTGAAATTTATATAGTCCAAATAATATTTTTTAATGATTTATTTTTAAAATTTTGCACTATTATGTTAAATCTAGTACTTACATTCGATTTCAACAAAAAATTAATATGAAACTCTGTAGAGCAAAAAATATGTTGCACAAAATTTTTATAAAAATTCTTTTTATATGAAGATTTACGTCAATTTTTTATAAATATTATTTTAATTACTAAATAACTACTTTTCAAAAATTAACATAATTTTTTCAAAATTTATATAGGAAATGCCATTTAATTGCACATAACAGACCACTCAGACTTCACAATTAATTTTAATTTTATTGGTAATTTTGTTTATAGAACAAACAAACATTTTTGTCAAATATATAAAATCGTAAACACAAATTTACACATACAAACATAGTATACAGAAACTTTATATTAATATATTAATTTAATTAATATAATCATGAACAATATATATTTTTATATAGTTTATGTGCTGATTGCCAACACTGAAATCGATACGCATTTTAATGGGATCATAACAAATTACTTGTTTGGTTTTTCTACAATAATATTTTAATTACATTCATCAAGAAATCTGTTGAGTATATAAGATTATTAGCTATATCGAATATTAATCGGCATAACAATATTTTCACATCACTTTAACAAGTACGTTTTTAGCAAGACTTAAATTAATGAAATCTATTTACACACATTCTGTCGTAAAACGTTTTATTTTTACTGAAACAAATTTTTCTTATATAGATCGCACAAGAAATTTTATATCCAAAATAATTTATAAACAAATCAAAAATAAATATTTTCTATATATTTTTTTAGAGATCGTAAATCTTGTTTTAATTTCAAATAATTGAATTATTTCATCTATTTACAATTCGACTTCTACACCGCAAAATCTTGGAACTTATAATGACATTTGTTTTTTGATTAACTTAATATATAATTAATTCAGTTCATTAATTAATTCATTGCATCAATATATCTATAAATTTTTCAGATCAATATACTATTAGAAAATACATTCAATGCACTACTGCTATACATAACAATTTATAAACAAATAAATTATTTTGGATATAAAAAAATGTGCAAACGATTTTTTTGCTAAAAATTGTTTTAACAACATTATTTGACATAAATTTTTTAATATATTTTTAAAAAAAGTATTGCAAATGTAAAAGCAAATAAACGAATCTGTCTCTCATTATCTGATTTTTCGCTCTACTAAAAAATTGAAATAACAAATCTATTGGAGTAGTAAACAAATTAAGTCCATCATTTCTTTCAGAATATACTTAATATCAAATTTTTAAATAAATGTTTTTATTTATTTTATACTGTTTAAAATAGTTATTTCTATGAAGAATCATTCGCTAACCTTGTACAATGGAATAAGAGAACTTATAATAACGTCAGCTATATTCTTTTATACAATACGTCAACCACTCTGTTTTTTGTTTCAACATAGCTAATACAGATCTTTTATGAAATATTTTATATTAACTAAATTTCACCAAATTCTATTTCCAACCGAATAAAATATAAATGTTTATATAATATAAAATTTATATTACATATTAATTAATATGTAAACCAAACAATAATAATATTAATATACGATTTTTCCTCAAAATTAGATTTTTGACAGAAGCAGTCAAATTTAATATAAAATTATTATATCTTTTTTAGCGGAATTTAAAAATTATGTTAACACCGTATCAAATGCTTGAGAACGCATGAGAAAATGTGGAAACAGCAGCTTAAACTGCGATAAAAACAAAAACCTAATATTAAGGGCTTGAAATGTTATTGGTTAAAAGGGCATAGATATGACATTATTCATTTAATAATCTATTCACCCACATACACACACACCACAAGTAATCGTAATTTTGCATATACAGCTGGCTTCGCTAAAAACATGTTCACACAGCAAATTATAATTTTACCCTAATATCTTTCTTCTATTTTGTTTTTATAGTTTCTGTGGTAAATAAAAAAGTCGTATGGCAGAGTAATATATTTTTTGGTTTAATCCATGGATTTTATTTATAATATCCCTGCGCAATTGCATTATTGTTATATACAAACTTATTTTTAATAACATATTGTAGAAATCACAATGCAATTATAATTTTACTGAGGGTCTCTACTGTCAAGTCTGTGGCAAGATTTGTATGATCCAACGTATTTATGCATTTTTTTTTTTCAAATTTTGACTGCAAGCAAGTTTTTATGTGTCAATGGAAAAGTAAAACTGTGTGCGAAAATCTTGCCAAAGTCAAGCCAGTGTAGGCGCAAAATAAGCTGTCAGATTTTTGCATGGAACTGAAATGTGATTTCCATATAATTTTATAACGAAACAACCCGAACGAACAAAATTATAATCAAAATTACGATTATTTGGTCTGTGTGAATAGGTTTTAGCTTAAAGAATCTGACTGAAAACATATTTACTTTACAACCAATTAGAACTTACTTTTTAAATTTATGCTTTTAAACAAAACAACAAATCACAAAGAATTAAAATTTTTTTTAGGAAAACGTATAAATTTAACCTAATTTGTTTTGGGAAGGTTTATTTGAAAAACACGAAAAAGAAATTGGAACAAATATTTAAATTTATAATTTATAATTAAATCATATAATCGGTCTACATAAGATTATTGTTACTGCAATAGAGTGTAGTTTGTATATAAGAATTTTAAATTTAGTTAAAGAAGTTGACATAAGTTTCCCTTGACCCCAATAATAAAATTGTACACAAAGTACAAAACAAAGCGAACAAAGAAGTTGCAGCAACAGTCGTGGAAAACTGGTAGGCACAGAAATGCAATTTTGACAGATATTCTGTATTGACAACAAATTGTCAATTTATGTGTACTAATTTTTTGAAGAAAAGAAGGAATCGAAAAGAGAATCGTCAAGAAAAATTTATTTCACGAAATAAAAATTGTAGTTGCCATATTGTTCGCTTTTTACAAAATATATACAAATTGCACACTCAGAGTAAATTTTAATAGAAACTAATAAAAATTTTTAAAGTAAAATAATATTTTGTTTTTATAATAACAAATACAAAAAATTACAATCCTAAAGACCAAAATAAATAAATTATTCTAAATTATTTAAATAAATCATATTTTAATTTTTAATTTATTATTGTAACTAAATAGTTTTTCGTTAACTTCTCTATTAAAATGCAATAGTTTCTATTAAGGTCGTGTGCGAGTTATGCTAAGTTGATGCTAAACCAAATGGGAGATTTTTTGGGATTTTTTGCACTGCACACATTTTGCCATTTATCAACACGTATCGACACATCAATACATTATCGACACAACTTAGAATTTCCCTCATTTAGAACGCAACTTAGCCTAACTCGCACACGAACTAAGTTAAATAGTCATTTTCGTTATATCTGACTTAAAAAATCTAATTTAGGTCGTGTGCGAGTTAGGCTAAGTTGATGCTAAACCAAATGGGAGATTTTTTGGGATTTTTTGCACTGCACACATTTTGCCATTTATCAACACGTATCGACACATCAATACATTATCGACACAACTTAGAATTTCCCTCATTTAGAACGCAACTTAGCCTAACATGCAATGCGTCATGGTTATTGTCTTTTTCATACATAATTAACAATAGATGTGATTAAAGGCAACATATCAGATAAATTATCGACTAATTGCTTATTTTTTCAATATACTTTTTATATAAATTGCAATAGTAATATAATGTATCGAAAGCGTGTACTTGATAGTACTTAATTTTATCTTAAAAAGTTTTTATTTAAAAAAATTGTATATATTTTGGTCTAATATAATATATAATTAAGACAGCATATATACAATGTATATATAACATATAATTATATATACAGTTTATTTATTTAATTTAAATTTATACTATGTTTGTACTTCCAATGATTGAGTTACATTAACATAATGTAATTGTAATGGTATTATTGATTTTACGTAAAATTTTTGCTAAACGGATGTCGAGTTAATTGCAATAATATAAATGTTAGGCAGTGATGTAGAAATTCTGTGGATATGTATTTGCAGTTATATTGTTGCATTTTCCCTTTGGAAATATTTTCACTACCGAACCTACATATTATATGCATATGAATGTTTATAAATTATATTTTCATTTGCTTCCGTTTAAGGCAGTATAGCTACTTTGACTAAGTAGTACATTTTGTAAATTATATTAATTTCAACTTGATTTTATATATATTTTAATTTAATGATTGGCGAAATTTTCACATTATAATTTTTGCTTTTAAAACAATGCTAGTCGCATAAGCCAGATAACAAATAAAATTAC